TCCCTTTCCGAGAGTATGGCCTAGGCCACAGCAAGCCTTGGGGCTCCCAAGATTCTCCGCTGGAGAATCTGCTTTCGGACACCTTTAGCCCCAGGTGACAGCCAGGAGACATTTGCCAGTCTTCCTACCAACCACGGCTTTGCGATTGGCTTGTTCAACTACCAATAACACATCTTCCTTTGTTTTGGAAGTTTATTCTATGAGCACCGCACTCCTTAAAAATTTGCTCTAAGTTTACATCATTTAAATTTAAAAATTAAAAAATAATCCAGCTATGCATGCTTTCTAACGTATCCCAAAGTAAAATTTTGATTTCAGTGTCCCACACTCAGTCCTCCCGTGGTCTTCCCAGGCTCATAAGTGGCACCATGGTTTACCCAGGTGGTCAACTCCACACTTGGAGGCAACATCTTGGTCTCTCAAGTTCTCTCCCTCCCCAAACACTGTCAGCTCCACCTTTATATTAAACCCCATAGCTGATCATTTGGATCATCTCTGGCACTGCCTCTGCCATCCCACTTCTGACTGGCTTTATGTAGTAGCCCCTGACTTCCTCTTTCTCCCCACTCTGCTCTCTTCAGCAGCTAGAATGATTCCTTTAAAACCCAAGTCAGACACATCACTCCCAGGCTCAGAGCCTGCTAATGGCTTCCTATGGCAACTGGCATAAAACAGCAAGTTCTCCCCGGGGGGTGAGGCCTGCCATGCTCCAGCAGCTCTGTGGCCTCACTTTGGACCCTGATCCGTCCACTCACTGCTGACCAGTCACATCACTTCCTGCTGCCGCTTAAACTCTCCAGGCTGCAGCTGTACCCTCCCTGTTCTCTCTGCCTAGAATGTTCTCCCAGATCTTTGCATGGCTTGTTCCCAAAACTCACACAGGTGAGCTAGCCAGAGGTCCCCCTGACTCCACCAGCGATGAAAGCTCCTCCTCACCCTCCCCCAATCCAGGGTGTAACCCACTCAGAGCCTCCAACCACTTAACCCCTTCCTTCCTGTTGCTCGTCACCACGGGACGTTCGATTACATAACTACTTGTTTATTGGCTTGTCTCCCCAACAAGAATGCAAGATGGTCTCTATGGATCTCTGCTGTATTCCCCCAGCACACGTGACCCTGACAGAGTTATGAACAAATGAACACAGGCAATTGCAAAGGGAGGGGATCGCCATTTTTGGCAACCTCCCTGCACCGCGCCAGGGCCCGTGTTCGAGGCAATTTATGAGCGTTAAGCTCACTGGATTTCTAAAATGACCTTGGGAGGTAGGTACTCATAATTGCATTTTACAAATAAGGAATATAAGGCTCAAAAAATCCGAGGGAGACCACACAGCTAGCGACAGGCAGAGCCAGTTGGGACGCCAAGTCGGCCTGCCGCCCGAGACCCGGTGCCACCCCTGCTCCATGCGGCTTGCTGGCACTACCCTGAGGAGCCCCAGTCCTGCCTGGCTCGGACGCGTCCCTGCCCAAGTGTCTGGTAATTATTTTCATCCCACAATTTGCCCCCTTTGTTATAAATTACCCTCATTCATTTGTTTTTAATAGGCCTTTCTCTCTTGTCTTCAATCCTTACAAATTCTGGTTCCCCAAACAACATCTCCAGGAGTTCTCACCGCCTGGCAGCAAGATGGGATGGGGCGAGGAGCGGAGCCTGTCCCTCCATCTGCCAACGCGTTTCCCTCCAGGCCGACTGGCCCCGATTAAGCTGGCACAGAGGAGTCTCCGCTCCACGCTGAGCCCACGGTGCGAGACGAAGCCACTTCTTGGGCAACATTCAGCTCAAGACTCTGTGTTCCATGTTCACGATGAAACGCAAATTTCCATGTTCGTGAGGGCCACCCGTCACAGTGCACTTGGAAAAGAATTGCAGCTGGTTAAATTTAGGGTCCTGAACAAATTCCAAACCAAGAATATTTTCTGGCAAGTGCCATAGCGTTTTCATCGGATGGTGAGCGAGGGATTTTTTTTTCTCCCGTGTGCCCTGGCTGAGGGCCAACGGCTCTGCTCCTTGGTGGTGCCTCTCCTGTAAGTTGTTATTTCATCCCAGTTACTACTGAGCGTGGGAGGCCTACCGTACTGACAGTGGGCAACTGGGTAAGACGCGTGGGTTTGTTCTAGCCTTCTTTATCCGTTCTAGTCTGGTTTCTTCTTCCCAAAGCCCAGACTCCCATGTTTTTTCTGGGAGCCTGTGTAGGGCTCTAGAAAGTCCTCTCTTTTTGGCCTTCCTCTTCAGCTTGGGACTGTGTAAATGCTCCCTCTCTAGATTCCTCCCCTTGCTAGCCTCCCTCCCAAGCTTCTAGTGTCTATGCGGCCCTCTCCCCTCTCTTCCCACCCACCGTCTCACTCAACCCTCTTGCTTTGGGATAATGACACCAACACTGGGCCTTCACTATGTGCCAGGTCCTGTCCTAAGTACTTTGTAGGAATTAACTCACTGAATCTCCAAACCACCCTATGTGATAGGAACTCCCCATTTTACAGAGGAGGGAATGGAGGTTCAGAGAGGTTAAGTGACTTGCCCAAGGTCACACAGCTAGGAAAGTGGAGAAGCTGGGATGTGGCCTGGCTTAACTGGGCTGCTATTCTGCCTCACGGTATTTAATGCTAAGAGCAGGAACTTCAGGGCAAAACAGACCTAGGTGTACATCTTGGCCTTGCTCTTGCTAAGAACCCTGGGCAAATCACGTCATCTCTGAGGCTCCTTTTCTCCATCTGTAAAACGGGTATGAATTTCTTCCTCATTGGGTAGTTTCAAAGGATGAAACGTGATGGCAGCGAGCAGCAAACCAGCCCGAAGCAAGCCTTGGTCCTTCTCATGCTAATGTGGACGGGGCTCCCTTGGTCATGCTGTCATTCTTCTCCAGGCGTGCGAGGAGGGGACCCTCGGGAGCGTGGCAGTGACAATCTCAGGTCTGGGGGTCCTAGACTGATGGTGGCAGCTGAGATGGAGTGATCCTGGATCTCAGGCTGGCCCACCCACCCTCACCCACAGGGCATTTTATGTCCTTCTGCATGTGGCCATTGGTCTGCGAGACTGTGCTCTGGCTTCGCCAGAGCAGGGAGCCCAGGCCCCTCAAGCCCCAAAGGCAGCCCACCGCAAGGAGAAAATGTAATTTTAGAGAAGCAGGGGGCTTTGGTTGTTAAATTGCTACGTCCTCCACACGCATTCACAACCCTCATACATACACTCGGACACACGCCAGCTGCCTCCCCAAATACACACTGTAAGGGGACACCCATCACTGAGGTCACCTCTCCACCCCACAAAGGAACGAAAGTCTGTTCAGAAAACAAACTCCAATACACAGTCCAAAAGAAAATAACAAAACAAAAAAAACCCAAACTTTACTTGCATTTAGCCATTAATAAATAATTTACAGTATGTACACGCAGTGACACTCCACACAGGTCGCGGACACAAGGACGCAGTGAGGGGTCCCCACTTCCAAGCAGAACGCGGTCAAACACAACCAAAATAAAGTGCTTCACTTTTTACTTCCAACATAGGGACCATCGAAACCAGCAGGGGCCTCGCCCCGCCCGCCCGGGTTTGGCAGAGAGAGGGGACCTCTTGGAGGGGGAGGCGGGGACATGTCCACAGCCTCCTGGGCCAGTGTATGAGAGGTCCCTGGGGAACAGCAGAGGGGCTGCCGCGGGTGCCAACGGGTGGGTGGGGACACTGTGGGGCTGTGGGGCTTCTGGGACAGTCGCCCTCTGGGGCCCGGCCGTAACTTTGGAGCAGAGCCCAGCCCAGCGTTGGTCTCTGGGGTTCTCTGAACAGCAGCAGAGGCGGGACTGGTTCAGGGCTCCTTAGACATGTGGGCAGCCCGGGCTGACGTGAGGTGGGAGCCGGGGCTCCCGGCAGCAAGTCTCTCCTGGCTTTGGGGCCACGGGGCTTCAGGGAAGGGACTGGACGGAAGAGACTCTGCCAGGGATGCTCAGGGCTGGGAGGCCTTCTAGACCCTGATCCTCTCCCCAGAATGCAGACCTGGGTGGACGGGGCAGGGAGTGGGGCTTGGGGGGGCAGGTGAGGAGAAAGCAGAGGATCAGGGCAGGCCAGCTGGCCCTATCCCCTGGGTCTCCTGCCCACGCCCTGTGGCCCAAGCTCCCCTGCCCAGGGGCTCTTGTCATCTGACGCAGAGAAAGAAACAGAAATCAAAGGGTAGTTCTCTGTTTAGACATTTAGAAACAAGCACTTGACTTCCTAAGCACAGTGGGGAATGGGGGGCCCGGGGGAGGGGCCAGAGAAGGGCATCTGAGCCCACGAGTGGCGTCTCTCAGAGCACGTGCCAACATGTATCATCCCCCAGCTGTGGGGCTCCAGAGGCAGGGGCCTGGTGACCGGGGCCGGAACCCATGCCCACAGCAGGCAGGGTGTACACGGTCTCCCCTCGGCTCACGGGGAGGCCACAGGCAGGAAGGCACCAGGAGGGCACAACCTTTAGGCCAAAGGGGTACATCAATTTGCTAAAGATGCTGAGCAGCACTCCAGGGGTGTCCTAAGGCCCAAAGGAAAAGGAGGCCCTGCCTGGGGGTCCAGCCTCGCGGAGGCCTCGGCCCCACCGGCTTAGTATGTGCGAGTGTGCTCGTCTAAGAGTGTGTGCGTGCGGCGGGCACAGGTGGCCCCACGAAGGCGCGTGCAGCAGTCAGCCGGGCCTGTTCAGTGCATTGCAAGGGGGTGGGAGGAGCTCGACTCTTGGCCTTTCCCAGTGTCTCTGGTGGGGTGGGGGGCTTCAGCCTGAGGGGCTCTGTTTTGCACATTCACACTGTGGGGCAGGCGGAGGGGAGCAGCTCTCCCTCTCACACAGCTCTACTGTCACAGACATCACAGCACCAGTCACCACAACCGTGTCACGGGCCCTAGAGAGGGCGGGGGGCCACCCCACGCCCCCCGCCCTTGCCAGCGGACAGCCCAAGGCTGCTCTGAGGTAACTGTCCCACAGCCCGCCGGCCAGCGGCTGCCTCTGCTGTGACCCCTGCAGAGACCCTGGGGCCACGGGGCAGCCGCTAGCCCTTCTGCGGCCACTGGCCGGCTCGGGGACAGGCAGCACCTCGCTCTGCGCCCTATGCGGCCATGGCCTCCAGGAGCCCAGGGAGCAGGGTGAGGAGCAGGAGGCTGCCCAGGAGGGGCCAGGGGGCGGGGGACAGCCCTGCAGCGGCCGCGCGGCCCGGCGGCTCCCGAGTCCTCTCGTAGAGATGCAGTCTGTCCTTGTTGGAGTGGAGCATCTTCACGTCCTCCAGGGCGTAGTAGGCAGCCAGCGTGAAGTTCACGTCCCCTGTGGTGAGTAGGTCGAAGACGCAGGCCTGGTAGTAGAGGTCCTCCACGGGCAGCTTCTCCTTACACTTGGCCGCGGCCGTCTCGTACGGGAAGGTGTCGGGGGCCGCGGGCGCGGGGCTGGCAGCCGCGGGCCTGCGGGTGCCGGGGCCTTCGGCGTTGGCGTGGAAGGCCTGGAAGTCGATCTGCTGGTTGAGGGGGCAGCCCCGCAGGCAGAGGTAGAGGCCCTGGCTGTCCCGGTCCTCCACAGCGTTGACCACCTCCTCGGGCATGCGGACCGCGAAAGTCAGGTAGCGGCCCACCTGGCGCACCACGATGGTGGTGCCGATGTACTTGGCCTGGATCTCCACGTGCTGGCCGGACACCTTCTCCGTGATCTTCAGGCTGTTGGCCCCATGCTTGTCCCCGCCGTTCTTGGAGCCATCGGCGAAGGCGGCCGGGAGCTCGTCCATCTCGGCCTGGTACACCTTCTGGTCCACACACTCCTGGAAGTTCTTGAAGATGATGGTGAGCTGCGGGGAAGGCGGCAGAGAGAGGGGGTCAGGCCATGCCGACAACTGCAGGGGCCGGACGCCCAGCCCCATCTTACAACGCTCTGGACCGAGAGGAGGGACGGGAGGAGCCCCAGACCTCCTTCCCCATTTGATCCCAGTTCAGTTCCACCTGCGCTATTATGCACTTCATATTTTTCTTTAAAGTAAATTGCTTTTTTCCTTAAAAAAATAAAAAATCGACTCATGGGAACTTTAGACTGCTACCCTAAACAGAAAACCAGCTTATTTACTACGTGTAGAACCATATAAATAAACCATAAAAAAGCACAGCTAATTAAAAATAAAAGGTCTTTATCCACTGTAGTAGGCTGAATAACAGCTCCCAACATATCAGGCCCTAATCCCTGGAACGCGCGAATGTCACCTTATGTGGCAAAAAGGACTTTGCAGATGTGATTAGGTTAAGGATACTGAGATGGAGAAATTACCCTGGATTATCTGGCTGGGCCCTAATATAATCACAAGTGTCCTCGTAAGATGGAGACAGAGGGAGATTTGACCACAGAAGAGGAGAAGGCCATGTTTCCACAGAGGCAGAGACTGGAGTGATGTGGCCACAAGCTGAGGGACGCCGGCAAACCCCAGAAGGTGGAAGAGGCGACGAATGGATTCTCCCCTGGAGCATCCAGAAGGACCGGCCCTGCCAACATCTTGATGTTAAGCTCTGTAAGACTCCTTCAGACTTCTTGCCTCCAGGATTATAAGAGAATAAATTTCAGTTTGTTTGAACCACTTAGTTTGTGGCATTTGTTTCAGCAGCAGCAGGAAACTAATATGGTCCACAACGATCTAACATCTCTCATGCCACCAGTGGACCTGCAGCAGAATTCCTGAGAAAGGACCGCAAGCCAGGGGCTGAGCACACCAGCAGGGGGAATAGAAGAGACTGATGCTCAAAGAAAGACCGAGCAGGCAAGATGCACGCAGGCAGAGGCCACTGGGGCAGGGCTGCCCTGAGGGTCACCCAGCCTTGGAGATGAGCAGGAGGAAGAGGGAGAGGAAGGTGCCAATCAGGGAAAGGGAGATGGGGGCTCCAGGTTGAACTCGCAGCCCTAGCTGGGCCGGAGCAGGGAGGCCGGTTTCTACTGGAGCCTGCAGCCGGGGTGAGGGGCTGGGCTGAGCAGCTCCATTAGTAACTGTCCTCCTGAGAACTACACACATAGGCACATTCGCTCCATCTGGTGTGCTGGGCACTGAGTTCATTACTTGCAGTCCTGGGTGGCACTGCAGGGGAGGGTGATGTTATCTCCCATTTACAGACGAGGACATTTGGGCTCAGAGATGCAAAGTGACTTGCCCAAAGTCACACAGCCAGCAAGAGGCAAAAGCTGGGACGAGTCTCTTGGTTTCCAGCCCCTAGGCTTTGTCAGCCACAAGCCCACAGGGTGGGAGGCCTGGGAGAAGGACGAGACACAAACAGCCCGCAGAGTGAGCGGGCTTCTCCCTGTCATCCTGGGTGAGAAGTCTGGCTGCTCTCTCCTCCAGAAACCTAACTAGAAAGACTGTATGAGTTGAAGACGTGAGCGAGATTAGAAGAGTTAACAGCCCCTGGTCCTGCTCCCAGGTGCCAGCTGTTTTGCCACTGGTAGCTCTGGGTGCCTCTAAGGCCACTGCCCCTGCCACAGACCAAGGGGAGCTAGAACCTGGACTCCCAGCCCGAAGCCAGGGAGGGAGGCAGGGTGATGGCGGTAAGATGATGCCCAGGCCTTCTGGGACCCCCTGCGTTGCCCCCCACCCCTCATTCCCAGGTCTTGGTCTCTCACCCCCGCCAACAAGTTCCAACCTCCTCCCTCCCCTGGGGAGAAAGGGCCTGGCCTGCTGGCTAACAGGGCTCCCTGAGGGGTACCACACCTCCTCGGAGGGTCTGTGGGCCGAGGGGGCCCCAGCAAGGGGCAGGGGGCTGCTGACGACACGTATGGCCTGCTGTGGCTGAGCTCTCTGCCCGGGCACCCCAGGGGACGTGGCAGTTGGAGGGGCATGACGACAGCAGGGGACGGCGCTCGGGGTGGAGGGCAGCGTTGGGAAGCGCTAAGGGAGTTTCCAGCCTAACAGCGGGGGTATGACAGGGACAAGACCCCGAACCTGCTGGAAACCAAAAGCAGCTCTGACGGGGAAGGGGAGGACCTCCGTTCAGACAAGAGGGTCAGAGAAAGGCCGGCCAGGAGAGGCGAGGGCGGGGCTGGGGTGGGGCCACAGGCCCAGGAGGCTGAGGGGAGCCGGCAGGGAGTGGCCTCAGCCTGGGGCCTCAGGAGCCAGTGCTGAGAGGAGAGGCCTGAGGACTAGAGTGAGGGTGGCCTAGGGGCCGCGGAAAGTTCTTGGCTGAGCAAGCCAACAGTGCAGTCAGACCCCGGCTGGAGTGTCCCCAGCTCTGTGTTGTCACTGCTCTGCAGGTCCCCCACAGGGTGTAAAGCTTAGAGGTGACCAGGCAGGAGAGCACGAGGGGCCTGGGACCTTCAGAGAGAATGCAGAGAAGACTCTGGCCAGGCTTCAGAGGAAAATCTGAGAGGAACTCGGCGAATGGCAGGATGCAGTAAGACTCTGGGGGACTCAAGGCACTTGGGCCTTCGCAGGACCCTTCCTCCATCAAAAATATTAAAAATTACACTTTGTGACTGCACTGGTATAAAGACTAATATGGTCTAGATTGGATTATGTTGATTTTTCCCCTCTGACTTTAAAAGAAAGGAAAGTCTTTACATGGGCCACTGGAAGTCTCGGGGCCCTTGGCGCTGTCTGTGTGGGGCCTGAAGGGTGATTGGCCCAGGTGGGTGGGGGTCACATTCTGCTGTCTTCATGGGGCACCAGGAAGGGCTGGCACCTCGAAGCCAAAGGCCGGAGGCTCTGAAGGATTCCATGGAGAGCTACATTGGGAGACCCTGATGTGCACAGCCAGGTGGGCACAGGACTCAGTTTCCCCATCTCCCTCCCCAAGGTCACAGCCTGGTCCCGGGAGGTGGTGGACTTCCGGCTTGCTGTGGGATGTCAAAGGTGGCCACAGCCTCTCCATCCTGCTTCCAGCCCTATGCATCCAACTACTCTACCCTCTCTGATCTAAGAAAATGGCGACTTCACAGTCTACCTCCTGCTGCTTCCTTCTCTCCATCCAAGGCTCCCGCCCTGATGTGGAGGCCGCCTGTGTGGGGCCGGGAGGTGGGCCAGCCAGGGTGGTCTGGGCAGTGGGTGGTCCTGCCATTGGGGGAGGGGGCAAGGGATGAGGGACTCTGGTGTCCCTGCCTGGTGTGCAGGGCCACACAGACTCGGGGTGGGGGGGCGGGGTGCTGCTTTCCAAGTGCCATCAGTCTCCCTGGAACAGGAAAGGCTGGTTTCGCTCTAACCGCCATCTCTCGTGGAGACAGTCTCCTGGAAGGCTGACAGGCGGCTCGACTCTTCTTGGCACCGGTGCCAGGACTCAACCACAAGTAACAGCATGAAGGGAGCCTGTCGAAAGCTGGCGGCTGGCTGCCAACACGGCCACGGGCGCGGCTGCCGCTCCTGTCTTTGCTGCCCCCTTTCCCAGAGGGGCCGGCGGCCCTCTCCACCGAGCAGGGCACAGGGCAGAGCCCGGGCTTCACCAACAACTATTTGTGGAGCCCCAGCTGTGTGCCAGACCTGGGACTAGGGGCTGTGTCCACACGGGGAACAGAACAGTCCAAGCTCACGCTCCGAGGGGGCCACAGACCAGTGGATGAATGCTGAAGTGCAACAGAATGGTAAGTGCTCCAGGAGCTAGGGAGGGGGAGGCCTGAGCTCTCCTCCCTGAGTCTCAGTGTCCTCACCTGTAAAATGGGCTGCTACCAGCACAGCTGGAAAGAGGGACATGCAGCAGGGAGCTGGGCAAAAAAGGCAGTCCCATGGGGGCGAACAGCTGGCTAAAATGTCAGCCTGAGCTGGAAAGCACTGGATCTTGATCATCCACAAGAACAGAAGGATGGGCTGGGCTGGATAACACGAATGTCATGGGAACTGAGCAAAGGCCCCTGGGTGAGGCACCACGGCTGAGGGGAGAGGCCGTGGAGTCCAGGGAGCAGAAGAGTCCGGCAGAGGGCTCTTGTGAATGTGTGTGTGGGGTCATAAAAGCCCCAGACCCCCATCACCTCGGAGATAAAAGCCCCTTGGTCTCTCTTGCCTCTCTCAAGGCTCCAGGCCCCTCTCCCATGCTCTGCCCGGCTCTGCTGCCGCCCACTGCTGTCCTTCAGGGGCAAGCTCGGTGAGAGGACTTGCAGGAAGCCTTCCCTAATGCTCTGGGCAAAGCCTGGCCCTTAAGGCCCTCAGCATCACGAGCACCCCTTTGTGGGTCTTTGTTCTCCATTATTAGCCTGGGAGCTGCAGAGAAGGAGGGAATACTGAGCACAGAGCCTGCACAAGAGGCATCTGGTAAAGGTTTGCTGAATCAATGAATGAACACACACACACCTGAGTAATGGAGGCCTGAGAGAACAGGCAGGGGAGGCCAAAGGCGCTGGGACCTAGCCACTGATGTTTCCACCAGGGTAGTACAAGGCTCCCGGGCTCCTGGGTCCTGAGACTGGCCTGGCCACAGACACTGACTCTGTCACTGTTGGGCCTCCAGCAGAGCGTCCAGAAGGCTGCTAAGTCCTCAGCCTGCTGGGAAGATCAAGGTGGCCCCAGGTTTCAGCAGAAAGGGGCTGGGCTGGTCAAGTTCTGTCGCAGAGCCCCACACCCTTCTGGAAACTCCATGCTGGGACAGAAGGGAGGTGCTCCCATCCCTGCTTGGGCAATTCTGCTGGCCACAGTGTCCAGCAGTGAGCCTGGAACAGAGCAGGCATTTGAAAAACGTGGGCCAATTGAATGAATGGAACACAAGAATGAAGGAATGAATGATGAATCCATTTGGATTTTGGACAGCACTGCTGGGCTCAGGGTCCCAGCGTGTGTCAGTGGAGAGCCGAGGGTGGCATCCAGGGGTTGTAAGCCCAGGCACACCGCCCCAGCCTGCAGGACCCACTAGTATGCGGCCTAAAGGCTCTTACTCCACCCCGTCATCCCCCCAGTCAATGGGGGCAGCAGCCCAGCCTCGCTGGTCACAACCACAACTCCTCCCATGTCTGTGTTGGCTCTGTTATCACATTTGGTGCTTGCACCACCCTGGGTCAGGAGGGACAGGCCTCCTGAGGTCCACGGCCCTCTCACGCCCTCAGATCTCCCCTGTGCCCCTGCCAGGATGGGACAGCAAGTTTGCTGCTGGATTTAGAAGCTGCAGTCTCAGGCTCCCAGTCTTCATTTATCTTGGCTCTAGGGAGGGAGGTGGGTAGGTGAAGGAGCCAAAAGGAAGGCCGCTGGGTCCTTGACGCGGGCACCCCTCAGTCTGTGGAGGGCCGGGAGTGGGGACAGCCTGGCCACAAGTCTGCTGCCCACTAGGCTTCATGGCCTGCTGCCAAAGGCCTGTAAGGTTGAGTGCAGGGCCAAGACCTGCTTGTTTCCTACCCGGCAGCTGAGCCCTTGGGTCCAGAGAGAGACCCTCTGCAGGTATGCAAGGGCTACCAGAGCAGAGGGAAGTGGCAGGAATTTTCCTGGCTGTCAAGTCACCTCACTGTCTTCCTCTGGGGTGTGGAGGGACAGGAAGGAACAGAAACACCCTTGTGGGCCAGCCCGGTGCTGCCCAGCACGCTCCCTTGCAACGTGCTCTTCCTGGGAAAACAGACCCACTGCCAAGCTGGAAACCCCAGGGGGCTCTGGAGGGCCGGCCTGGAGGAGGGCAGAGGTGTCCCCATCTTGTGGCTCTGAGAGCCCACCAGCTCACCAGGCCTTGAGGCCGCGCCCTCTGGCTGAGTCTGAACCTGAGATCACAGGAGACACTTGTGGAAGTGGATAGGGAGGGAGAATCTGGGGTGGATAGAAATGTCTTATTGCCGGGGCCACGGGCCACATTGTGGCTGCCTCTGACTCTGGCCCTGTGAGCAGATGCTGAGGCCTCCTTGGGTCAGAAGATGACCGGCTCTTGGTGGCCTCTGGGGCTCCAGATGGGAATTGCCTCTCCTGGCAGTGAGAACATTCTGGGCTCCAAAGTCACGGGCCCAGGTCGAACCCTGGCTCCATGCTCCCGGCTGACTGCACCATGGGTGGGAGGCCACTTTGCCTCTTGGAGCCTCAGGTTCCAGGTGTGTCAAACTGAGTTGCCCCAGCAGGGCGGGGCCGGCCCAAGGGCGGAGGAAGAGGCTGCATGGGTGGCCCCTGCAGTGCTCAGTGAGCTGCTTCTCTGTCCTCCCTTGTTCCGTCTTCCCCCGTTCCAGACACTGCGGCCCCTTTTGCTTTGAGGCTACAGCTTTTCCTTGTGGGTGTGGGGCAAAGACAAAGGGCAGGACTGTACCCAGAGCCTCTACCTCCAACCTAGCGTCCCCAACACCCTCCATGCACCAGAATCACTGGGGGCTTTAAAAAAACACGTCTGACCCCACCCAGAGATTTTGTGTCAGACCCAATTCTGCTCAGTTTGTAAACGTGCAGCCATATGAGAACCCATGGGCAGGACTGTCACCCCAGGAGGCTGCTGGGTCCACTCGTCCAGGTGGGGTTTGCTCCCACTACACTGTAAGCCCCCTGAGGGCAGCAACGGGATCATCCCTGTAGAGAGGCTCCTCTTGATCGGGTTCCATCACTGGAGTTCTACCAAAATATAGTTTGGGGGCAAGAAAAGACTATTCTGAAAGTTTGAAACTGAATGCTCTGGGAAGTGATTCTAAAATTTTTGGACTATAGCCCCAGTGAGAAATCCATTTTACATCTGAACCCACGGGTGCGTGCATACACACCCATGTGCACACATGCACACAACAGACACTGTTTCCTAAAACATTTCCTCTTACCACATACAATGCATTCGCAAACTGCCTTTTATGTACGCTAGGTTATGCTACCCTGTTCTACCCTGCACGGTTTAAAAAAAAAAAAAAAAAAGGTCTAGACGCTGGCCTGGTGGTGTAGGAGTTAAGTTCCCACATTCCACTTCACCAGCCTGGGGTTCTCGGGTTCGGATCCCAGGCGCAGACCTATTCACTGCTCATCAAGCCATGCTGAGGCTGTGTCCCACACAGAAGAACTAGAAAGACCTACAACTAGCATATACAGTTATGTACTGGGGCTTTGGGGAGAAAAAAGAAAAAGAGGAAGATTGGCAACAGATGTTAACTCAGGGCCAATCTTCCTCAAAAAAAAAAAAAAAAGTCTACATGTGTATGCTGGTTTCTGACCCCAGAATGCTGCTTTCACAAACCTCTAGTGGTGATGTCCAGAAGTTTGAGAAACACCACACTATGCAGAAGTGGTTCCAGGGTGGTTTACGTCATGACAAAGAATCTCTAGAACATTCTTTTCTAAATAATCTGCCCATTTACTGAAAATAAGAACGTGGGGGGGGGGGGGGGGGGGGGGGGGGGTGGGTTGGGGCTGGTGGTGGTGCCGGAGGCCCCTGCATCTGCGGGGTCAGGTCTGGGCCCTCCTGACAGCAGGGCCAGGGTGGTGTGACCCCGCAGGGCTGCCCTCGCCTCAGCCACAGCCTCAGCCTCATCCTTACCTTGCTGGTGGCGGTAGCGGCTGAGCCGGGCAGCACAGGGGTGTTGGTGACCTGCACGTTCAGGTAATTATTGTCGATGAGCGGCCAGGCGCCCTGCACCTTGCAGGTCTGGAAGCGGTCTGTGAAAGTCCTGAGGTGCGGGTCCCCAAAGAGGCCGCAGTGCGTGTAGTTGGGGGTGGCCGCGTGCTTGTGGAAGCTCCTCTCGTAGTGGCAGATCTCGGGGCTGTCGGAGCGCTCCTGGCTGTCCCCCGGCGGCGGGAGCGTGCGCAGGCGCGGCTGCGACGTGGGGCCATCCTTGGAGCAGTTGTGCTGGCTCATGAGGTCCTCGATGCCATGGACGGCCGAGTGGTAGGCCAGGTCGCCCCGGCAGGTGCGGGCCGTGCGCCGCGTGCACAGAGCGTAGGTGCGCAGGGCGGCGCAGAACTCGGGCGCGTCGTCGGCGGCCGGGGAGTGGCTGCCTGCCGTGGCGCTCCAGAACTCAGAGTTGCACTTGAGGATCTTGCACGGGGAGGTGGCTGTGGGGAAACGAGGGGACACGCGTGAGGGCAGGCGCAGCGAACCCAGGCCGCCTCCCTCGCCGAGGGCCAGGCTGCAGGCGCATAGCCCAGGACACCTCGTCTGAGACGGCACCACCCACACTGCACGTCCGAGGAGAGATGGCACAAAAGCTCCCGCAGGCGGTGCTAAACTGCGGAACTTGCCCTTCCCGGCCTTCCAGATTCTTCTGCAGTCTTTAAGGACCCCAAGTGGCCACCCATGCAGACTGACATGCTCAAAAGTCTAGCAGGGGGCCCTCCCGGAGTTCCCAGCCCGTGAAGAGGAATGGTCGGTGAGTCTGGGCAGCAGGGCTGTGGGAGCTGACAGGCCACCCTTGGACCTTTGACATCTGTTGACACTTTCACAGCCATCCTCAAGAATTTTGGCAAACACACCAGAAATTTGGCAGGGAATTAAGCCCCACTAGTTAATATGTGTCTAGAGCTCTGCCACTGTGTGGCCTTGTGCAAATCACTCAACTTCTCTGTGCCTCATTATACTCATCTGGAAAATGGGATAATAATACTATCTGTCACATGAGGTTGCTGAAAGTGTGAAAGGACTTAGGATGGCACTGGCAGATAGCGGAAGCTGCACGAATGCCGGCTAGTATGATTATTACATTAGCACTGGTCACAGACGGCCTGGTTCCGATCACCTCGTCTGCAGAGTAAGGGCAGCTTTCCTCTTGGTTGCTCTATCTCCATCCCTCTCTATCCTGCTCAGGAAAGCAAGCTGGGAAGCAACTGAGAGTGGTAACTGTGGATCTGCCCTAATTCGCGTTTTCTTTTTTTTTTTTTAAACTTGCAAGCTTTGAGACCTTGGTGGTAATTAGCTACAAATGACTACGCCTGAGAACCGCGGCTTTAACACCTCTGAATCTTGTACCTGGACACATGGAACCTGCCCTTTCCCAGCTTTCCGGATTCTTCTGCACAGCCCGTACTGAGCACATGTGGCCAGGCATGCAGACCGGCAGCAGGAGGGAAATTTCTACACAGACTGCAGGAGCAAAGGGGCCGGCCGACCAGCTGGGAGGCCTGGGCTCTGGGGTCACAGCCCAATGCTGGGTGGTCAGTAGAGGGCAAGGGACCTATTGCTCCAGCCACTGGGCCACTAACCTGGCTTATGACCTTGGAAAAGCCCATATGCTTCTCTGGTGCTGGCTTTTTACCTATAAAATCAAGTTGCGCATAAAACCAGGGACAGAAACACGTGTGGGCAGGCTAACTGGAGAACCGGCCCAGCGGCTGCCCCTCGTGGGCCCGCCTGTGCTGCGAGGCTCTGCGCCCGGAAGCCTGGATGCTCTGTTTCATGGGGCGCCCACCTCCGCAGGGTCGGGCGCCGGCCTCATGGAGCCGCAGTGACCTGCCTGAGTCACACGCTTAGGCATGGGGCAGCCACATGGGGGAGCCGGCTCTAGTCCTAAAATCCAGGATTTCCCCCCAACTCGACCTGTGTATGTCACGTGCTGGCAAACAATGTCGTTTCAGGCGGCATCTGGGTGAACGTTTTCTTCTTTTAATTTGAGGTGTATTGACTTAAATGTGTATTAGGAGAAACAAACATTTGATGGAAGACCTACAGATCTTCCATGTTAATAGCTTTATTTTAAGTTGAGGAAGTGTGCTGGCTTAAAGCAGCAGATTTGGTGCCTAACAGGCGGTGACTGCCGTGAAGGGGCGCCCGTGGCCCAGGGTGGTGAGCACTGGGCGTGGTCTCCCTACCACAGAGGCGCGCTCCTGGGGGGAGGTCTCCCTCCAAAGGCAGCCAGAAGATTCTCTGGCCCTGCTGTCTTCATGTTCCCTAACCTACAGAAGACGTCCAAGGGCGCCATCCACTGGTGGGCTGCAAGTGCTACCTTGGCCTGTGCGGGAGAAGGTCAGGGAGCCCTGGTGGTGGAAGGGGAGAGGGGTGTGTGGAGGGGACACTGGCAGAATGAGCGCTTTGGAGGAACATAGTGCAGAGGGACTGGCTGGAGTGGCCACCACACTCTATCTCGGGTCAGCGGCCTCCACACAGCGCCTGCACCTGCAGCCTCAGTAATCCAGAAGCAGGGCGTGCTGACCCGCCATTCTGCTTTCTCAGAATTATGGAGATATGGAGAAAACCGCCTGAAGGGACACAGGCCTCCCATGCACTCAGGGACACTCGGCTCTGCCCACCACCCACTGGCCCACCAGCCCAGGGCCCCCACCTGCGTCCAGGCTTGGGCCGCCCTCTGGCCTCACCATGCCCAGAGGAGAGAAGAGACACTGCCTGTCCCTTTACAAGCAGACTCTGCGACAGGAGCTGCACTGGCCTCCGCTCCCCGCCAGGGGCCAGGTGTCCCTTCAGCAGAGACTGAAGTCACAGCCAACTCACCCTGTCCAGGCTCGGTGCCATGGGCACTGCAGGCCTCTCTCGGCCCCACGGGCAGGCACTATGGCCCTTCCCGCCTCGCAGAGAAGCAACGCCAGGCTCAGCGAGGCTGTGAGGAAGACGCCGAGGCAGGATGGGAATCCAGCCCATCAGACCCGAGGGCACGTGCTCTCGCAGCTCCAAGTCATGAGACAATCTTAGCGCGTTCACGGTTCCCTTCACTGGCCACTGTGTGGTGCAAGGGCCCACACCACCGCGGGGGACCTCAGCCTCTCCCTGAGGACCCCTCCTGTGAGGCTGAGAGCCCTGACCAGCCAGGAGGCCTGTGGTCCACACGCTCTCTGTGGCTTCGCCTCCAGTAAACTAGTTCCAAGGGGCCATTTCTCGGGGTACAGCCCGTGGAGTGGGCAGGGGCTCCAAGGCAAGGGGCAGGCATGGTACACAGGGCAGCACCAGCCTGCACACAATGGGGGATATGTGGGGTGGCCCACTTATGAAGGTGGTGATGGGGGTCTGCTATCCTCACAGCCTTGAAAACTGGGCTCAGAGCAGTGTCCCAGCTATAGGAACTCATGACGGAAATCCCACTGAGGTGCCCTGAAAGAGGGTCCCTCACACACTCTGGGGTCATCAAGAGGGATCTGCCAGCACAGATATGGCTCTTAAAACCCCGTTCAGAGCAGCGTTCCTCAAGAGTCACTGTGCACCGACTGCCGGGCTCTGGCGCAGCGGCCTCGGCAGGGCTGAGGGTCTGCATTTCTGTCAGGCTCCCCGGGGAGGCCCCTGCTGCTGGTCCACGGGCCACACTCCTTTAGAGTTGGGTCATTTGCTTTTCAACAGTCACAAAGGGGCCAAGTTAGAGCCCTCTGGAGCCTGGACATTCTGGAGTGTGTGACTGGGGCATTTCCTCCGGGCGGGAGGGGGCTGCAGGCAGATAGGGCTGTGAGAGGGAGACAGCTCTCCTGAGGAGCAAACCCAGCAGGGACACAGCTGCCAAGCCTGAACAGCCCAGCACTCAGCCCCCGGAGACAAGGCCTGTCACCTCTCTGTTCAACACTCGATGCAGCTCCTTCAGTTCTACCCCCTTCCCACCCCCCAGCCCTGGTAGGAACAAGGCAATCCTCAGAGGGGGCATGGCAGCTCTGCCCACCACCCCCAGGTGGCGACAGAGGTCACTCTCCGCTGCCCTTGCACTCAGGAGCCAGAGTCTCCAATCCTAGGCAGCTCCATGCAGCGGTGAGCTCCTCTGGCCCCCACTCCCTTCAAGTCCTGCTGATCCCATTTCTCAGCCACCTGGAGAATGTTCTCGATGCTATCACCCAGGACTGGGCCCAAACTGGAGAGGTCTGAAGGAGACACTGGCTGTGTGGGGTGATGGGCAGAATGGGCACTGGAGGGATGGTGTGTGGCTCAAAGTCCCACTCTGTCACCTAGCAGTAGAGGGAACTTGACTCTGCCTCAGTTTCCTTATCTGTGAAGTAGAGGCAGCACCTGCCTTAGAGGGCTGCTGAGGATGAAATGAGGAGATGTGCATGGAATGCAGTGGACACTCAACAAACAGAGTCCCTGACAAAGGTCTCAGAGGGGGACAAATATAACCCCCGTGAGGTCAGAGGTTAGAAGTCACCGGCAGGGGATGGGAAGGGCATTGGATGGAAGCCAGCCCCTCCCTCTGCCTCCTCCCTAGTGAAACCCAGGGACTGCCCTCAGCCCCCCACCATCCTCCCCAGGTTAGGGCCCTGGCTGGGGCCCTGATCCGCCTTTCCACCTTGATTCTGATCAGCAGACTCTGGGCAGCTCCCTTAATCCACTGTCCACCCACACCCACAGGCTCACCCCCACAGCCCATCTGGATGGGTCCAGGACCATGACTGTCTGGGGGCCACACTTCCCAAGGGCACTCAGGATGACTTGCCCCTCCACCTCACTCACCACCTACCTTCCATCAGGGAGGGTGCTATGGACTGAATGTGTCCCTCCGAAATTCACATGTTGAAGCCCCAACCCACAGTGTGATGGTATTAGGAGGTGTGGCCTTTGAGAGGTGATTAGTTTTAGATGAGGTCATGAGGGGGGGCCTCCATGATGGGATTAGTGTCCTTATAAGAAGAGACACCAGAGCTCTCTCTCTGCCATGTGAGGACACAGCAAGAAGGCAGGCTGCAAGTCAGGAAGGGAGCTCTCACCAGACCCCCGCCATGCTGGCCCCCTGCTCTCAGACCTTCAGCCTCCAGAACCATAAGCCTCGCCCCTTTCTCTCTTCCCCTTCCTGGGCCCTCCTGAGTCCCCTCTGCAGAAGATGCCAGTATCAACGGAGGCCAAAGGACCAGATTTACTCAACTTCACCTACTCCCTTTTCCCACCTCCTCACAAGGACCTGTTTTCACTCAGGGGTGACTTAGGCTGGGAGGATTCTTTTGGCTCTTCAGAGGGAGACGGGATCGAGGAGGCCACAAACCGAGTTCCCACCCTTCTGCTTGGAGACCCTCGGCCCCACCAGCCTGTGTGGCCTCACCTTGGTCAGGGCTGCCCAACCTTGGCTGTACCTTAACCTCACACAGGACACTCCCTTTTCTCCTGTCACAATCTCTTCCTTCAGTTTGCAAGGCACCCCAAA